AAAATCAATTCCTACCCGGATCTTCATGGGTCCTTAATAGTGAAACATATATAGATACAAGTCATTCTTATGATACATTCGGTGTCTTACAAAGATTTCTGGTTTAGCATTACTGTGTTTGTGTATGGAAAATGATTTTGTTGCTGTATTTCCATTCTATCATGACGTGTCACTTTGATGAAGTACGAGATGACGTACTCGCTGACGCTTGTTAAAGCTACACCATGCACACACCCTTCTATTACATTTACATCATCTACCCATCCTTCTGTGTACATTTACATCATCCACACATCCTTCTGTTACATTTACATCATGTACACATCCTTCTGTTACATTTTCATCATCCACCCTTCCTTCTGTGTACATTTACATAATCCACACATCCTTCTGTGTACATTTACATCATTCACACATCCTTCTGTGTACATTTACATCATCCACACATCCTTCTGTGTACATTTACATCATCCACACATCCTTCTGTTACATTTACATCATCTACCCATCCTTCTGTGTACATTTACATCATCCACACATGCTTCTGTGTACATTTACATCATCCACACAACCTTCTGTTACATTTACATCATCCGCACATCTTTCTGTTACATTTACATCATCCGCACATCCTTCTGTTACATTTACATCATCCACACATCCTTCTGTTACATTTACATCATCCACACATCCTTCTGTTACATTTACATCATGTACACATCCTTCTGTTACATTTACATCATCCACACATCCTTCTGTTACATTTACATCATCCACACATCCTTCTGTTACATTTACATCATCCACACATCCTTCTGTTACATTTACATCATGTACACATCCTTCTGTGTACATTTACATCATCCACACATCCTTCTGTTACATTTACATCATCCATTTACATTTACATCATCCACACATCCTTCTGTTACATTTACATCATCCACACATCCTTCTGTTACATTTACATCATGTACACATCCTTCTGTTACATTTACATCATCCACACATCCTTCTGTGTACATTTACATCATCCACACATCCTTCTGTGTACATTCACATCATCCACACACCCTTCTGTTACATTTACATCATCTACACGTATTTTGTAGTACAGCCAAACACTGTTGTGTCGATCTTTGATGTTTCAAACTTACGGTTATCTCGAAGTAAAGTTTTGTCCCTTCATGAGGTTTTATGTCACCAGATTCCTGTTGTGTCGAACCACGGGTATCTCGAAGTATTTACGTAGGTACCTTCAACTTCGACACAAATGTGTTTGCCTGTATACTAAAACCGCGGGGATGGGGTAGCCTAGAAGTAAAAGCGTTCGCTCGTCACGCCGAAGACCAGGGTTCGATTCCCCACGTTGGGTACAATGTGTGAAGCCGATTTCGGGTGTCCCCGCTGTGATATTGCTGGAATATTGTTAAAAGCGGCGTAAAACCAAACTCACTCACCCACTACTCAAACCTACCCGTGTTCATAGCAGGAAAAACATTCCGACAGAACCCCTTCCAGCATCAGCAACGGGAATCGGTTCCAGAACATAAAGAGTATATATACTGTAATGCCAGTCTACAAAGCACAAAAGATGCAATAAATATCTACAAACAAGTCTCTGACTGTCAGATAAACACACCAGACCGCCGCATGGATCCACAATATCCACAGTAATTCTGTTCCACATGTCTTAGCGCATCATGTTTCACCAAGGCCAAGTCTACGTAAACACCAACAAGACGCTAAATAAACAGGGCACAGCATATATTAGATATATATGATTGTATGCTTTTAAATCTTCTTTGACGAAATATTCTTAAAATGACAATTCCACAAATTGTTCATCTCGTACTCGGTATAAGGTCACCGTTGGGTAATGACTATTTAAAATATCTTTTCTGTAGGATCTAGCATGGTAAATATTCTCTTTCTTATTATCCCTTTTTGTAAACCTGGCTTTAAGTAAACATATTCCATTCCATCTGATAAACCACTGCATTCTTTCAATGAAGTCCATGTAACCAAGGTGACGTCATCTTACTAAAGTACAAATTCCTCAGAGTTTCGAACATGTTCAACCATAAAGAAAATTTGATTTTTTTAAGAACTTTGATGTGCTACTTCTATTATCAAAGGTCTTTTTAAAATTGAAAGGGTTGTTCCAATGACCTGTTTGTTGTTAAGAATGCACATCCTTGACCCTAACGACCTCCACTGACAGACAGAACACACTGTCTCTGAATCTGGGCTACCGATGTCTCCCCGTACCACGATTCTGCTGTTGATGTCATCGTCGCAGGTCATCGGCATGACCCAGAGAAAGGACTTGGATGCTGGGAAAATAATAGTTACATATCACCGGGCGTGTCTGGTTTGTTCGCGTATGGGTGCCATACCTGATACCCACGCCTATTCACAAATTTCTTTCCGAGCCGTCCCTCCTTGTGATGGACGGGGACACTGAGATATCAGTGAAGGTATTCAAAGAGACATGTTTTACTATGGATTGAAGAACCCATTCAGCGTTAACGGTGTTGTCAGGTGTGTTAGGTCGGACGGTTTAATGATAACGGTTGTTGTATCGGTTGACAGGTGAACAGATACTTTATAATGAATATTCTTTTAAATAATCATAAAGTTCCTATTCTGGATATTAAAGACACACCTTCTTGAATACGATGCTTAAGCCTTTTTCTTGATCGCTATGCCATGTGGCTGTCAACTTGGCCCGTTTCAATCAGTTTTAACCACTTCACCTGCTCTATATTATGGTGTTCAGTGAGTGAGTGAGTTTAGTTTTATGCCGCTTTAGGCAATATCACCAGAAATGGGCTTCACATTGTATCCATATGGGGAATCGAAACCGTGTCTTCGGCGTGACTTGGATGACCTTATCTACTGTTAACCTTATATTCTCTTTATTGACTTGATGACCTTATCTACTGTTAACCCATGGCCACCTGATGACCTTATCTACTGTTAACCCAGCTGATGACCTTATTTACTGTTAACCCAGCTGATGACCTTATTTACTGTTAACCCAGCTGATGACCTTATTTACTGTTAACCCACCCGAAGACCTTATCTACTGTTAACCCGCCTGATGACATTATCTACTGTTAACCCACCTGATGACCTTATCCACTGTTAACCCACCTGATGACCTTATCTACTGTTAACCCACCTGAAGACCTTATCCACTGTTTACCCACCCGAAGACCTTATCTACTGTTAACCCACCTGATGATCTTATATACTGTTAACCCACGCGAAGACCTTATCTACTGTTAACCCACCTGATGACCTTATATACTGTTAACCCACCTGATGACCTTATCCACTGTTAACCCACCTGAACACCTTATATACTGTTAACCCACCTGATGACCCTGAAGACCTTATATACTGTTAACCCACCTGATGACCTTATATTCACTTCATGACCTTTTACTGTTAACCCACCTGATGACCTTATCTACTGTTAACCCATCCGAAGACCTTATATACTGTTATCCCACTTCATGACCTTATCCACTGTTAACCCACCCGAAGACCTTATATACTGTTATCCCACTTCATGACCTTATTTACTGTTAACCCACCTGATGACCTTATCTACTGTTAACCCACCTGAAGACCTTATCTACTGTTAACCCACCTGATGACCTTATCTACTGTTAACCCACCTGATGACCTTATCTACTGTTAACCCATCCGATGACCTTATCTACTGTTAACCCACCTGAAGACCTTATCTACTGTTATCCCACTTGATGACCTTATCTACTGTTAGCCCGCTTGAGGACCTTAGCTACTGTTAAACCACTAAATGACCCTATCTACTGTTAAACAACTTGATACACCTCACTTAGTGTTATCCCACTTGATACACATCACCAAGTGTTAACCCACTCGGTACACTCAAAACACATGACATAGTGGCAACAAACAGGTTCGACATCACCCTGTGTCCAAATCTCACTTGAAACAGTGGGCTAATGTTACGATTCGGGTCAAGTTTCGGGTCAACCCGGGAAATGTCATGATTCGCTGTCACATTTGCAGATGTCACAATTTGGGTCAAGTGGGCTAATGTCTTGGCACGGGTCAAGTTGGCTAATGTTGTGATTCATGTCAAGTTGGCTAATGTCATGATTCGGTTCAGATAGGCGAATGGAATGTACCGATTCAGGTGATGTGGCCTTATGTCATGATTCGGGTCAAGTGGGCAAGTGACGTCATTGGGGCTAGTGAACTGTTGTCCCCATTCGGGTTATGTGTGTCAAATACCCAATTCGCGTCAAGTGGGTTCATGCCATGAATTGTACCATGTCAGCGAATGTCATAATTCGGGTCAAGTCACATTCCATTACCCAGTGTATTATACTTTCGTTCTATAATGATATATCGTCATGCAATGGTACAAGAGAGTTGATGCAGAAAATGGTTTCCTCTGTGTAGTAATGTAATCGTGTTCAGTCTAATCATCTTGACAGCTCTCTTGTATTAGAATACTTATCAGTTGTGTTCTGTTTCCCACGACTGCAGCTCATTGGTGCAAAGTAAAAAACACGTAATATCCAGCTAATTAAAATGAGTGACTGAATGTTGTTTTACGGCGCGCGAGTAGCGTTTCCATTATTTCGTTCTATCACCCTATAGGATAAAGCAAAAACATTTGAAAGTAGTAGATTTTAATTTGTTTGAAGCATATGAGCACAGGCTTACTTCTGGAATCAGTTCGAATCTGGAATCAGCTGATCCTGGCATTGATATGGGGGGCAATTATGATAGCTTTCTCTCAGATGCAACAACGCTACCGACTCATTGCAGAGCCGTAGTTCAAAGTTGCATTTATGAATAAACTTTATACATTGCTTGGAATTAAACCCAGGTTTGCCAAGTGAGAGCATTAACCTTGGACCTACCTCAGCATGACCCCTGGTCAGTCTTGCCTGTGGATATACCATGAGAACAAGAATACAGTAAAGACAAGATCAAGTACGTCAAAACATTTAATAAATATCATATCAATATGGCCATGAGATATGTCGTGTGAATGTATACAACAGTGATGTCTATTTACATATGAATATTGCACCGGGATATATCAATATGTATTTACAATATTTACATCTTCATATACAATTTACAAGACAAATATACAATGTTCAATAACTTAAAATGTCTAACATAACAAATATAGAGATATATTTCATTGCAACCCCAACTTCTCAGAAAGAAGACTAAATATTGAATTGTACAAAACGACTAAAATGTCTCCCACAAAGATAATCAATTATCGCAAAGTGAAATTACATATTTTATAGAATACTCGTATAAAGCGGTGGTTGGTTATAATCAGTTTTAATTTTTGTTTTAAATCAAAGCTAATTCCCTCGGCCAAATAACTGGAATATGATTCACTGTGTAAAGAAATATGGAAGACTATGCTGGAATATCACAGAATCGTTCATTTTGAGACATTTCACTACAGCTAGATCGGTACACAAAAATATTGCAGTACCAACCTCCTTTAGAGAGGAATACCCGTGGTGAGCAAGATATTTTTGGCAAAAGTGGCACTAGAATTATAAATTAAAGCCTTGAGACTCATCACATCCCTCAATATAAACTACGTCATTTTGTCATTTTACGACCAAGACGTAAAAACGAAATTTTGAAAATTACTTGAAAATTGAAACACCTACAATTCGAACACCAAATATTGGAACACTAAAAATTGAAACACCTAAACTTGGAACACCAAAAATTTGAACACATATGACTGTGTATTGCATTGTAATGAAATATAGTTCCGATTTTGTCTTCTTATTACAAATATTGGTTTTGGTTCACATCGAGAGATGGCATCATTGACATTGTTTATCCAAGTACGTGAAATGTGTGAAGCCCATTTCTGGTGTCCCCCGCCGTGATATTGCTGGAATATTGCAAAAAGCGGCGTAAAACTAAACTCACTCACTCACTCCAACAACGTGACTGTATAAAGCGTGATCGTTTACGACTACAGGGTGGGATTATACGTCCTCTGTCTAACACATCCCTCAGTAACATTGGTCCTTTACATGGTCACCTAGGACTATGCAGTGTAGTCTCCGTATTATTGCATCTTTCAGCTGCCCAAGGGCCCACGTGCGGTTTTGCGCCCACTGAGATCAGTTCACTGGTTCCGTTTCCTGTCACGTGCCATGCACGTGCAGTACGTGCAGAGCGTGGAACTCGCACTCTTCGATCGTCCCATTTAGCTGCCTTGAGAAATATCAGGTTTCAACGAGTTTCCTTGGTTCGAAACTGGTTGTCAAAACACCAAGGAAACAAGATCCATCTCCACTCCATCCAATAGCCTAGCAACGGTTGCTAAGCCTCTTTTGGGACAATCGTCACATTTGAGCAAGTAATAATTTGTTATCCTAGTTTCAATGTTCCGACTTAGGCGTGCGTTCCTGTTTGATGGTATATATCCAGGGGCGTCAAACTCACACTAGGACGATCGATATACTGAAAATATAAAATATGAAATAAGTCGAGGCAAATGTGGTTATTTCGAACAAAATAGATATATTTAATTGTACTTAACTAAGTTTTGTACAGCATTAAGTCTCGATTTATAGCTTAAGCCAATATCCGATAGAATTCATCTTTGCTTTACATCATAAATTTATATCGGCATGTTTCGAGGACCGCATAACTCGACATAAATCGATAATTCATTTTTGCATTCCTTTTTGCATAGATATTAACATATAAACTTTTACTCAATACTTACATAGCTGCTAATTCCGAGAGCATTATCAGCATCATTGAAGGCGCCGGGACCGGAGGAGTCATCGTCACCAAAGTAGGAGTAATCCATGTCCCTGGAAAAAGAAGTTCTCACGTAAGTCCTGAGTGAATGAGCGAGTTTAGTTTTACACCGCTTTTAGCAATATTCCAGCAGTATCACGGCGGGGACACCCCACCGCCAAGTCCTGTGTGAACACCGTATGGACATAGATATTGACACAAATAGCAGGAAGTAATACATTCTTATATTGTGTTACCGGAATTCTGTAGAGAAATGGGTGAGTGAATTTAGTTTTACGCCGCCTTTAGCATTATTCCAGTAATATCACGGCGGGGGACACCAGATATGGGCTTCACGCATTGTACCCATTCAGGGTATCAAACACACATTTTCTACAATCATTAAATGCCGATGACTTCGCAGAAACGAAAATGCGAACATTGGTGATTCCTGGGGATTTACCTTTATGATACATGTCTGAGACCTGCGTCTCTTCGGGCTTTACGTTCAGTGCACGAAATACTGTTCAAAGAGGTGCGTAATCTATTCGCTCGCTCATTATTGACGAAATTCAACTTACTCTTCCTTCTTCTTCCTGAAGAACGCAATGTATATGCAGGACGCCGTCGTTGCCATGATCATCACGGCAGCACCGACACCAGCACCTACAATTTGGCCTGTGGTGTAGGACGGGTCCTGGGTCGCCGGGGCCTGCTCACATAATGACCCGGAATATCCAGTACCGCATCTGTAGGGAGAGAAAACACAACGTTAGGAGTGGCGTAGTCGAATACGTAATATGTACGAACTTCTGTTTTGTCCATTATATTTTTCATATTAATCATGGTCGTCATCGACCCATGCTTGTTGGGTGGTCAGGCTCGCTGACTTGTTTAACACATGTCATCGTATCCCAGTTGCGTAGATCGATGCTCGTACTGTTGATCACTGGATTGTCTGGTCCAGACTCGATTATTTACAGACCGCCGCCATACAGCTGGAATATTGCTGAGAGCGGCGTTTAACATTAATCCAACCAACAACTCATCGTCGTTGTGATGATTATGATGCTGATGATGAAGATGATGATGACGATGATGCTACTTACTGGCAATATGCTTCGTAGTTGTCGTTGATCTGACAGGCGCCCCCATGCTGACATTGATCAAACAGCCCTGTGCTGTAGCACTTATGTTGGCAGTAAGTTAACGAAGCCTGGTCTCGAATACACGTGTATTCTTGGGGACAAGCGTTTTCTGCTTTACATGCATCCGTTAACAAAAGCTTGGCTGGAAAATAGAAATAGTTACATTTTAATAATAATAAGAGTACTTTTTAGCGCCTCATCCACATCACCGAGGGACATGCTTTAAGCGCATTTTAGCATTACTTTCACGTATATCGGATATATAAAATTATTTTATTGATTATATCCATGATTATATATTTATAGTCACGAACGAAATATATTGAATGGAAGGTGCTATTGAAATATAAATATTACCTGCTTCTCCAACGACAAGACCATTGAGTTCTGAATATACCACTTCGTCGTTTATGGTCATGTTGTTGATGGCAGGTACGCCAACTCGGACCAGCTGGTCAAGAAGGTCTTGGGTCTGCGTATTGTCCGTGTTGCTTCTGGCCCCAGTGAGAGTGACCACCAGATCCCAATCAGCCGTCACGCGTTTGTTTCTGTAAAAAATATATTGCAAATGATTCCACGGCATTTGATTGGATAACCATTTGATTCGAAAACACCCCACCCCACCCCCACATTTGTGAAAATGACTAAAGTTGATGTTTTGCAATGGCGGAGCCAAGGTGGGATTCAGGGGTTTTGAACCCCCTTTGAAAATTTCTGGATCCGCCTATGATTATTATTTATTTATTTATAATGATGGACTGCAAGTGTATTTGTAGGTTTTCTGAGGTATAACCACAAAGACTACTGGAATGAGTTCTTAAATTAGAGTCTTTTTTCTGCACCATGGCTGATATAAACAGACGCATACTTGGCTGATGATCTGTTGGCTAATTCAGTTAGGTAATAGGCTAATGTAAACATAGTTTGGTTCACCTCAGCCTTTTCATCATCTGCGTCATTTAACATCTAAATTTAAATCGGTTTCATTCGGCAAAATATAGGACTACTTACTCGTCAAGTCGAATATTCCTCACAACTGCTTCCAATGATCCATTTATCCCGCCAAAAATATTGTTGAGTTGTTGAGTGAAGGTCTGAATATAGTTCGCTATTTCTTCCGGTGTCAGAGGCTGATTGTGTTGTTTGTCCAGGGTCGTGCTGAACTGCATATTGAACGTCGGGTCTGAAAAAGACGGCATACTCATGTCATTTCTAATAACTTTTGTGTCACATTCCTCAATACGGAATTTCGGTAACAGTAAAATGTAACAGAATAAAAGTGCCATTAACTGTTCAGTAACGGTACTTACCTTCTGTGGTATTTGTTGTAGGCATGAAACTGGCTCCTCCTCCATCTGTAGAAAGACAAAGATCACAATAATGAAAACAACGTCATTTTCCAAACATACCTCAATAGCGTTTAATCGTAATTTAAAATATTCATACGGGCAAATGATAAATAAAGTGATGATCTCGAGTCCACGGACTGCAGTACAACGGCATCTATCGCGATTGAGATTTCGAGTTTTTCTGTGCGTCATAAAGGTCCAGGAATGCTATTTTTATCGAAGGTACCATGTTCAACTTAGTTTACATAAATTCAAATATTAGTCCGGTGTTGACGTACCTCCTGAACCAATAACATCATCTGGCTGAATCTGTCTCTTGAATCTCCGAATGATCTCCTCGGCTTGTTGATCGTTAGAATAGATCTCGTTCTCAAGAGCATCTTCATCCACCTCCTCCTCAACCTCTTCCAATAGAGGCTGCAGAACAGGCTTCTCAGGGAGGACAGGTTTGACTCCTGTAATCAGAAAGTTATCAATAATGAAAACTTTGTCCAATGCCTATCTGTTAAATGGGTAATGAACGATCGCTAATTTTCGAATCCTTGGAAACCATTGTATTCTCCGTGAACTGATAAAGTCAATGTAATAATATTATATATAAACCCACAGAAGGCCTGTGAACAATGATTTCATGCTTCTTACCCTCTCTCTGGAGGAGTCTTCTGTGAAGTGCCGACTTTTCCACTTCAGTTTGTTTCTTAACTTCTGGTTTGATGTCATCTGAAATATAAGAATAATATAGCTATATTAAAACATTTTAAAACTATATTTAAATAAACTCTAAAGGATGTAAGCAATGACATTAACGTATACTATACGAAGTTGACACACATCTTCGCTATTGTTTACAGGCAGGAAATATATAAGGGTATTAAAGGGATGCGGGGACAACAGCCAGTCGTTTGATTGTTGCACAGACCAATTTTGATAATTCGAAACATTCATGTTTAATGTTTTAGTGTTCCGTTATTGTTTCCGTCAGTATATTCACAACATATGCCCACCTTCTTTCTTCATTTGTTCCACCAAGTCGTTTTTGATAACGGGTTGGCTCTGCTTCTTTGTTGCAGCTGGCTTCACCACCTTCTTCTTGCCAACGAGGATGAGTTCCTCTGTCTCCAGGAGACAATCCATATCGGTTTCTGGGTCACATGGCTCATCTGTAACAGTCAAACACTGCATTAATAACTTCGACCTTAAATACCTACCAAAGCCATATTAAATCTAACTTAAATATATTACAAATCCTTAGTATGAGACTACCGTTAATTCCTATGTTAAGATAATAATTACGTATCTATGTAATTGAACTGCACCAAGATCAGTAAATTCATGTTAAAATCCTAATACATCCAAATGAAATTTATTACATAGCATTGCTATGAAGCTAATGTTAATTCCCATGTCAAGATAATCATTACGTATCTATTATTGAATTGCATCTGGAACAGTCAATTCAAGTTGAAATCTTGTTACATCCAAATGAAATATACTACATAGCATTACTTTGAGGCTAATGTTAATTCCTATTGTAAGATAATCATCACGTATACTTGCGAGAACAGTAAATTTGTGTCCATAGCTTACCTTCATCAAGGATTTGCGGACTAGATACATGGGATGGTTTTTTGTCGGTCTTGACAGTTTTAACATCAACTCTCTGCTTGTGATCATCTGCAGCCTGAAGTGGTTTCCTGCCTGTGGCATATGCGGGTTTTTTGTGTACTGGGATCAAATTCTCTGATTCAATTTCATTCACTTCCTGTTTGGCCGCTGGTTTAGGTTTTGGTTTAGCTTTAGGTTTATCTGGACTCTTATGGACTTTAGTATCTGTCACTGAAAAGGTGAATGTGAAAGATTAACCATTTGTCTCAGAACACATGTCAATAGATCAGCAAATAGAAGGGCTGTAACCCGTACTCGGTATACTTTGTGTGCAATATTTTACGAGAGCTTTTATTTTGTAGCCCCCCTATTTCGCAAGCCGTATCGCAGTTAAGCAAATATTTATGTAGGCGTGAGTGCAGTGTCACTCCTTCTAAGCTCAATATCAAGTTAAGAAATGTTTGGGTGAGGTTTTTCAAAATACTTACCATGCGATAGGGCCTGTGGTTTTGGTTTTATATGAGGAGCGTCAGGTTTTGGATTTGTTTGTTTCTTCAGTTGTACTGGTAGTAGATGCTCGCTTGAGAATAGATCTTCATTATCCCCCCCATCAAGGGGATAATCATGGACGAACCACTTTGGGTCAGCTAAGAAATACAACATAAATATCCCTAAATGAAACAAAATTTAGGTCATGATATGAACAAATGAATAAGATATGATGTAAAAATAACTATCACTGATATAATTTTCGTTTTATAAAAATATTGTTTTACATTATGTTATTATATGATAATAATATTGAGAGTTGACAAATATCAAACTTTAAAAAACTATTATTTTTTTTATACAAAGTTAATGTTTCTAAATAAAAAAATCATAAAATATTTTAATATTCACCTATCACAACGGAGATGCTAATCCAAGTGATGATCAGTATAATCCACAGATTCATCGAAGTTTCTGAAATAGCAGAAAAACACACTGTCAGGTAATGTGTCCTTGTCGTACTCCAAGTCCAAATTTCTTACAGTGTAATGGCGTGCGCTTCATGAACCAGCACGAGCGCTCACATGAACCAGCATGTACGCCGCTTTGAGAACTAATGTTCAAGTGATCATAGTTACTGTCTAAGTATGAGTGAATCGGCTGCCATTTCCAATCGCAGCTTATATAGCTGTTATTTTGGTCACATATTGTAGAAGAGAAAAGTACAGTGACGCAGGACAGTTACTTTCCCCGTCAGCCAATCACAACCTCACCAGGGTGTGTCTAACGCTTTCGGGAGGAGCCAGTCCGCTCTCCGTTGTCACAATACGCGAAGATAACCGTTGCGTGTAATTGTGCCATTCACGATTTCGTCGCTATTGTGGAAGAACTCTGTTCCGTGATTGTTGTTGGCGAGTAAGTATAACGTCGCTTACAGCATATCAGTATATGTCTCGTAAACAACCACCTTAGCATCAAATCATTGCCAAGTACATTTAAGTCATGGAGACTTCAATTGAGGAAAGTTACTTAAGCATAAATATTTTGAATCACACGCCCGTTTTAATGTAGTCGTACTCGATGGACCCCGCTTACGTACGGAAAATGTTGTGTCATTTCATGTGAATATGACAGCTTTTTCAGCGTAATTTTCACAACACTGTTTTAAAATAACTAGTAAAATCTTTCTAAATATCAAATATGAAATGAAATATTCACTATGTTGTTTACAGTCATCACTAAAGCTTTCAAACTGTTTAATGGTAGACAGTGGCGGACATATCCAATGTAACGTATCAGAGACAAAACTATTTCCGACACAATTCCTTAGGTTTGTACTATATGCTGCCGTGTTGTTTCAGAAGTACACATGCCTTGCCTTTGGGTGTATTTATTACGGGTTTCAACGGTGGAGCAGGATACGCACACCTCACCTGGTATCATCGCTATTTGATTCATTAACACATGTTTATAGTATACTGACTGAATGAGTATGGTTTTACGCCGCTTTAGCAATATCAGGGCGGGGGACACCAGAACGGGCTTCACATATCTTACCCATATGGGAATCGAACCAGGGTCTTCGACGTGACGAACGAACGCTTTAACCACTAGGCTACCCCACTGACCCTACGCTTCATTGAGGAACTTCAGTAAAACTTCCGACCAGGAATTTGACTGAATATTATGCAGTTTGCTCATCACTAAACCAGGTATGATATATATACCTGCCTTGTCATCAGGAAATTGAAAGTCACCATATAGACATGTGAAATAAAGTTCCTTTGTTACATTTGAGTCATCCCTTATGACGATAGTAGCGGATGCTCTATTATCAGGAATCGAAGCGGAACACAAATGGCGTCGCAGGGGTTAACCTACACAACGTGTCCCATGTTTGCAAACTATTGTGCAATTGCAATTACATCATAAAGACTGTTAATAAATACACGAAATTTCTTTTTTAACTAAACTGACGAGAACTGATTCAAGACAACTGCAAAGTTTCAATGTATCAAACAATCTTTTCAAAACTGTTGTTTTACATAGAGAAATCATAAGGCTAAACAACACACCCCTCCCTCACCCCCTAAAGGAAAAAAAAAAGCTGGAATATGTGAATACCCCACTCAGACACATTATACTGACTCCGAGCCGACCAGTCTTTGGTGTACCCATTAATGCCGCGCACCAGACAGGGACCAACAAGTACCATATTTTAACGTGTTAGGGTATGACGCGACCGGGGACCGACCCCTCAACCTTCAGCTCTCCGGGCGGACGCTCTAACCACTACACCACGGAGGCGGTGGCATATGTAAGGCTGATGGAGATGTTCCCATAACGTCGATATTATCCATAAATTAATAATATTTATTTAATAATAATCAAGTAATATTTTTTAGGAATATGGAAATGTCGCTTCTCTTTATACAAACACTTCTGTTACATGATGACGTCCACTGAAGGTATATTTCAATAAGCTTGGCTATCATAATAAATAGATTCTTATTAAAGTCACGGAGCTTTTACTTATCTAAACACAATCAGATCAACAACAAAAAAAAGCTGGTAGTGTGCGTTTACGTAAAGACGTCGAAAAACAGCGTGGAAAGACATCCGCTATATTTGTCATCGTGGGCGTGGTCGTCACGCTAGAGCATTCAGTGACTTGAGGCTGACGCAGCCAGTGACAAAATGTCTCCTCACATCACTTGTATCCTATTGTTATCCTACAATAATACTTTGACGTCATTCAGGTAGGGATTTAGCATGTGTTCTTTCACTAATGTATCACGAAAATTATATTTATCGACTAGTGTGGATAGCATGTGTTCCTGGGTGTAAACGGTTTTGGGTCAGTGGTTGTGTTAATGTCAGTTTGGGTTGGGCTATAGATAGGCGCAGGTTGTAATTATAGACATTCAAGTTTACATGCCTATATTCTGACGTTAGTTAAACGGATCACGATAAATATTTTTGGCCTGATGTTGTTTGGCTTTGCAATACAGCATAAATCCATGAATTATGTGGGTGGTGATTTAGTATTAATGCGGGCCGACAATTCGTTATAGGAAGAGATGGTGAGGAATGGAGCAGGAGTGGACTGGGGCTTTGTCTGGAGACTAGATATTGTTTTAGCTAGAGTCGAAAATATTCTTTTTATTTAAATAGTTTGCCTGAGATAAAACAGCAGCAAAATGTATTTCTAAGGCAGATAATGCCTATTATTTTCATTTTCTAAGAAGGGGCGGTGGGGTAGTCTAGTTAAAGCGTTCGCTTTTCACGCTGAAGACCCGGGTTCGATTCCCCACATGGTGACAATGTGTGAAACCCATTTCTGGTGTTCCCCGCCGTGATATTGCTGGAATATTACTAAAAGCGGCGTAAAACCATACTCACTCACTCACTCGACATCCTTCTTTAAAGTTCATTATCACTGATAATAGTAATCTGTTACCATACCACCCTTTCGTTTTAGTTATCTCTTACGACCAACATGTGGTGCTTGTGGTATGTTCTAACATGTTGGGGAGGTGGGGTAGCCTAGTAGTTAAATCGTTCGCTCGTCACTCCGAAGACCCGGGTTGGATTCCCCACTTGGGTACAATCTGTGAAACCCATTTCTGGTGTCCCCCGCCGTGGTATTGCTGGAATATCGCTAAAAGCGGCGTAAAACTAATCTCACTCACTCTAAAATGAAAACCTCGACACTGTAAGCCAGAAGATATAACTAACGGATTTTCCCGAAACACCTGAAGCAAACTACATCGTTGACTTCATCTCGAGACTACAGTTGTCACATTCCGGCTTAGGGGAATGGTCTTCAGCAGCCCATGTTTGTCTAAACAGACGACTTATGGGCTCAGGAGATCAGGCCCGCTGATTCATGTCCTAATTGCGTCGATGTTGTTGTTTTTCCTATTTGTTTTGTTTGTTGCTTAATACCCCGATCAGCAATATTCCAGCTATATGGCAGCGGTCTGTAAATGATCGAGTCTGGACCAGACAATCCAGTGATCAACAGCATGAGCATCGATCTAGGGTACGATGACACGTGTCAGCCACGCCAGCTAGCCTGTTAGTAGCCTCTTAAAACAAGCAATGCCAGATCTAACCAGGTTGCGTAGATGTATGTTCATGATGTCAATCACAGGTTAAACAACAAACAACTAAAGATGACGTCCCCAAAGAAACAACAGCTGCGACTACCAGCTCGTCACACCTACCTCGTCTTTGGTCCTTCAGCCTGGTCTGCTGTGATCTAAGTCGGGCTATTTCTCTCTTGTTGAGGCAGCCACTATATTTCCGTTCTGTAACAGAAAATGTTCAACAGATATAATTTCAGTGGATTGATAGAAGAGATATGTTGGGTGTTACCGAGGAAGCAGTAATTATTTAACAAAATGTAATTTTCTTATTTCCTTTGACAAACCGCTGACAGTGACTGCTCCATTCGTAACTACTCGCCTCTTTCCGTGACCTACAAGAAGACTCGTACCTGTATAGTACGCCATTACCAGAATAGTGGCAAACCAATCAAATCGCGCGTAGTAAAACGCATTTCAAAGCATGACAATGTCAGCACCGTCGAACTTTAAAACTTCGCTAAACAATGCAAAGCACGATTTAAACATAAACTTTGAGCTACAGGATTAGCAGCTTTCAGCACTGAAACATATTTACGAAGGGAATGACTGTATATCTGTTTTGCACACGGGATATGGGATATTCTAGGAGTAGCAATGGCTGGAAATTCAGAATTATCTTTCCTTGGAAATAGTACTAGACTATATTCATCTCAGTGCCCGTTTGCGCACGACAGGGCCAAGTCGTGGACATGGCCACGAGAGGGGTACGAGTCGCCATCCGGCTTGCCGGAATGACACGAGTAGTTACGAATGCCTAGAAAGAGAAACTTCCTCTTCCGGCGTAACAGTCGTCTGCTTCACAATGCAAACACAGAAAAAGCCAACAGACAACGGACATAGATGGTGCGTATATTGGCGGTAAAAGTCTTGTCAAACCTGGGATACCTCTTTGAAAAATAATATCATTTTATTTCTTACAGCAAGATAATCGGTTGTTTTGTTTATGAGATTGGACACATTAATAATGCACAAACGCAATCAATTAATATATTTGACTTATAAAAATGTCAGAAATGATGCGAGCTTCTATTCAATATTCGAGTGAGTGAGTGTAATTTTATGGCGCTTTTAGCAATATTCCCGCAATATCACGACGGGGGACACCGGAAATGGGCTTCACACATTGTACATTTGAACATAATGACAGTATATCGTGGGAAGAAAGCCCTGCATATACATGCTTATATACTCTGTACCGTATGTATTTTATGTGACAATTTGAGGTGAGACTTTAATAAATAATCTGTCTGTCTGTCCCAATGTTTACACTCCTGTAATTACAGAGCTCAGAAAAGGTTAATGTCCAGTCGCTCAATGCATGTAAAGAATGTAGAACATGCATCGTCACCATTGGAACAATGCACTCATTGTTTCATTAAGGAATGAATCATATTCTCCAAAACTAATCAGTTAATAAAGCAGAGAACTCCAAACATTTTGCTTGGTCTAAATATCCCGCTAATAAAGTATATATAGAAAAGCAGAGTTTTAAGTATTATCAATACTGTCAGTGTTGACATTAGTAATTCCATTACTGCGCTCTATTATTTGTCTTCCATGGTGCAAATTCTCCCTTCATCAAAATACACGCACGCATGTTGTATTTAAAGTAATGTATTGCCAAATGACAGTTCTATTTTATTGATTTATTATTGAAGTGGCCATTCATAAAGCATGCCCACATGGATACAATATGTCAAGCCCATTTCTGGTGTTCCCCGCCGAGATATTGCTGAAATATTGCTAAAAGCGGCGTAAAACCCAACTCACTCGTAAAGCATGCTCATGGCGTTATATCATTACCCTGGTCAATGGACACCCAATTTTTATTCTCAGCTTCTTGGGGAGTATACTACCCAAAAACCTCTTGAGGAGCAAGAACGTTAACATGGATGTATATGCAAACCAGGCCATTAAGAGTATTTCGTGAAGGGAGGATAACAATACATGGATAAACATCATCTTGATCGCTTGCTTGATAACGGTGTCAGAATCTACAGCGAAACGTCTTACTGTAATAAAATAGTTCATCCATATTTTGTTATCCTGCCACAGTGCTCCAATTCTAAATGCCTCTCAAGCAAAAATATTTCGTTGTTATGTTGCCAAGACAATTTCCCCTATCATTACCCTACGGGCTACATGGGATCTACCTGTTATGAAACAATATCGAGTCTTTAGATCAATATTGAATTTATCAGCAGTATAAGAAAGGTTCTCTTATATCATTGTGTCCAGTTGATTCGCCTGTATTTGAACAACCAGGCCACTTTATCGGCTTATAATTGAAACTGTGTGATGGGTGTGTCCAGTATACGATTATCTGAAGTACATATGCCGGCACGGTGTTGTTGCGTTAACATATGAATATGTATAGCTAAACGAGGCCGATGTATTTTATATTGACCCGACGATATTATATACATAATTTGAAATTTAATTTGCATTTCTGAAGGATCGGCTTAGTTACAAATGTGGTAGTTATATTCAATAAATTGATATTTCAACCGCACATCGGGGACCCAAAACCCCAGAACTATTTCGTTATATCTATCTGTTCGTTCTAAGCGTGTTCATATTAGTTGAGTGAATATGGTATTCGCCGCAGTATTACCATGGCGGGGATACCAGGAATGGGCTTCAAACATTGCACACATGTGAGGAATCGAACCCGGGTCTTCGGCGTGACTAGCGAACGCTTTAACCACTAGGCTACCCCACGCCCTGTTCGTTTATTAACGTGGTCAACTGTAATTCATCTGAAATGCTGCTCCACTGTAACTCAGTAATTCATATAAACATCTGTCTCTCTGTCTGTGTGTTCGTATTTGTGTCCTTTAAGTCCTTTGGGCGGTGGGGTAGCCCAGTGGTTAAAGGCCTGGGTTCGATTCCTCACATGAGACCCATTTCTGGAATATTGCTGAAAGCGGCTTTGAGCATTGCCTTTGTGTGGTGGAAGTCAGCGCTATATAAATACTCTTATTATTATTATTATTATTAAACCCAACTCACTCATTAACTCACTCACTTTAGGTCCATTAAATTTACCATTTAAGACCGCCACGATATTGCTGGAATGTTGCGGCGTAAAACCATACTCACTCACTACCATTTAAGATGTAGTATAATGTTTCTGTCTCAGCGCCGCTGAAGGCTATTGGTAACTCGAATTCACTTCTTATTATGCCGAGGGCTTCGAGATAACAAGGTGTCACTTTTGTCTAATAGTACATCTCTATTAATCTATCTATCTACATGTATCTACTATTTATACCTATCAAATACACTTACATGTTGGTGATATCCCGTTACTCCCAACTGATTTACGTTTATCGTCTATCAGATTTGAGGAACCGTGCGCCTTTCACTCTTGCGCAAGAGATTGTCACTTAACACTAACAAAACACACGTATACACATGCGGTATCTGCGAGAGTGCACGGTTTCCAATGTCAGCTATGATGTCATGCATTCGATCAATCATACACTATATGCATAATGAGAGACGCCGTGAATACGACTGCCTTCAGTACATGCTCCGCTCAATAGGAAGTTATGCCTGTTCTGTTCCATAGGAAGTTACACCGACGAGGGCTTAAGGTGTGGCAGGTGTCCTGTATATAAAATATGTTTATTTTAGATTTCTTAAGATTTATTTTGGTGAATTCATCTACTCTGCGCACTTTTAACTTTTGAAATGTTGACTTGGTACTTTGTGAGATGTTTGGTTAATCACTCCCATGTGTACTTAAAGGGGTTTTAGGATGGGCGCGGGCATTTGAACATAAATTGTTGGGATAAATTGTACTGGAAATTCAAGAGGTTTCAACCTTACAGAAAAAGATTCTATTTACTAGTATTTAGCATTTCGGTACACATTGTATTGTATTTCAAATTAAAATTTACTTGTTGGCTGGCTTTTGATCCGTTACCATGACATCAATATATATTGATCAATGAAATATGAATTATAAGTCATACAATGCACTTTATAAATCTATTTAAGTAATTTTTCGTCAATATAGTGTTGTTCCGCCGTTTCGGATCTATCTACAGAATACTCTTCACGTTTTTGTTTGGAATTTTATACAAAAACCTTCAAACGAAAAGATAATTTTCAATTTCAATTTTTCAAACCCAAATTATATTTTTTTTCCGAATACGGATGTTCTTAAAACTAGGTCTTTTATTTGCCGAGACAACAAACCAACTGCTGGTCTAACCCACGTCCAATAGGCTCTGAACCCTCGGCTGCTCGGGGCCTGCACTCTGAATTGAATCACATGGGAACCGCACACAGTTCTTGTGTCACACCTAACGCAGCTCAATAGATTAGCGTTTGTAAAGAGAGCAAAGTAAGTATCCCTCTTGATAGCCAGTTCAAGGCACTGTTCGTTATCAACACTGGATCAAAATGATTAGTTGTTATGCTTTCAGTGCAAGATAGAGCATCATCATCCCAGATGAATGCAGGCGCTGGGATGTCACGTTCAGTCAACATGACATCGCCTGAAGGCTATGTACCCTGACAACCTTTCGAACTTACTTCCAAATTCAAAGACTTAATTCATATACGATTGACGTAAATGAGCACAGGTGCATCTTATCCCATGATAAAGAGAGAGTGAGTGAAAAGAGAGAGAGAGAGAGTGAGATGAGAGAGAGAGAGAGTGAGAGAGAGATTTACGCCGCACTCAGCAATATTCCAGCTATATGGCGGCGGTCTACATAATAATCGACCAGTCTCGGACCAGACAATCCTGTGATCAACATGCGATGAGCATCGATCATGCAATTGGGATACGATGACATGTGATTGGGATACGATGACATGTGTCAACCAAGTCAGCGAGCCTGACCACCGGATCCCGTTAGTCGCCTCTTACGACAAGCATGGGCTACTGAAGATCAACTCTAACCCGGATCTTCAGGGGTCTCCCCGTTCAACAAACCAAGGGTAGCGCTACGTCTGTTCTAGTTATGGTCGTCTTAACGCTAGGATTGCTTAGTGGAACGCAGACCTGGCCATGGTCAGTCAGCGAGGTTCCTGTTCTCCTTTACGACTCTAAGAGACAGATTTGGGATTTTGTGAAAACAAATTAAACCTTCAACACCATTCCCTTGACAAACCCTTGATGTCTACACACAAACGTCTTGGGAAGT